CCCCAAAACCCCAAAACCCCAAAACCCCAAAACCCCTCGGATGCAAAATAACAGTACTCAGGTAAGTTAATAAATGTATTCAAATTTCTTATAATGCGTATAAATAAAAGTGTAAGTTAATGATGATCAACTTCCTTATCATATCTTCTTATATTATATGTACATAAGTCAATCATCAGATTTGTAAATTTTTTGATTCAAGCCTTCCCTAAAAGCATTTTTTATTTGAATTCAAGCTTTTATTTTTCAAATTTATCTTTTTTAGCTTTAGAGTCTATTTCTTCTTCAGACTAATCCTCTTTATAATAACTTTCATTTTCACTTTCTTCATTTTCCTCATTACTTTCTCCTTCATTCTGACTAGAAACAACTTCACGCTAGATATAGATTGATGTAAAGTCTAATTTAGGTATCTTCACTCCTCCCTTATCTATCAAAACTGGTGATCTTTTTTCACTAGAGTCTATAACTAGATTTTCTACTGAGATGCCTAATCTCTAATCTTCTTTAAATAGTCTTTCATATTCTTACTCAAGTCTTGCTGCCTATTCCCCATACTCTTTTGTCTTCTTGAGTAGCTTCAAAAAGGTTCTTTCTCGTTGGTTACTCTGCTTTAATTCCATCTTGAGCTTCTTATTGATAGACTTGAGTCCTTTATAATGATCATACAAAGTATTGAACTCATTTATGAGTTTTTGATAGTTCTCTAAGTTGAGGTATGACTCCATTTTTTTAATTCCTTAAATTTCCTGTTTGTAGCTAGCTATTTACTTCTTCATTTCTCTCATGATCTTCTCATAGCCATCGCTCTTTTATTTGAGCTAAGACATTTCTGTCTTATCCTCATCTGTCTTTTTAGTCTGGAACTCTCTCTCCTTCTTGAGATCCTTAACAGCTGTTTGAATCCCTCCCTTAATTTTTTGCAGTAACTAACTAAATCCTCTGTCCTTTTAAGATAGTTCATCAAGAATAGTAAGATATATTTCTGTTTTAGCTTGAGCTTTCTCCGATGTAGACAAATTAGTTTTTTCTAGTTCTTTTTCTCTTTGATGAAGTTTGGTTTCTAGTTCAAGGCTAATGTTTTACTAGTATAGAAGTTGTTATGATTATATTTAGATTTGATTCTATGTTTACTGGGATTTTGGAGCACCTTGAGATTTTTTATTTCCACTCATGAATATTGAGGAGTTGTTTATATGATTGCTGATATTTTGGAGTGAACTATTCCCAGAAGTAGATTATTTATGCTCTGCTGTATTCAAATTAGTAGTGTTATTAAAATGCATATTATCGTGAAAATTTTTAGAGTTTATTATAAGATCGCCGTTATCAATACTTGATAAGGTATTTTGGTAATTTTAGATTTAAGCTAAAGTGCTCTATGCTCCATCTCTTATAGCTATAGTGTCGAAATCTATTGTTATATTATTTGAAGCAAGATGCCCAAGTTAGGAGGATGCGCGTAACTTATCTATCCTTCTCAAACTGACCCCACTATGATTTTGCTGTTGAACTATTTATCTTCCTTTTTTCTTTGTAGCCGACTTACTCTGGATAAGATTTTTGCTAAGCATTTGATGCTTATTAAAATTGTTCATCATTATTTGTGGTGTGTGCTATATCGTGCTATTGTTAGTTTAATTTGTGATTTACGGAGCATTGTTGCTTTCAGTACCTCCTGTCGTTCCTGACCTTTTGGTTATGTCTTTAGGTTATTTAGAGATACTGCTCTTCTTAGAATAATGAGAAGCCTTAGTAGACTTGAGATAGTCTAGTGTATAAATTTAGTTGAAATGCTGCTGTGCCTATGAATTAACGATGTGCTAAGCATAATTTGAGGCTTTCTATTAAGTTTAGTAATTGACGTTTTTAAGCTAACTCAAATTCAAAACCATGTTACGCTAATTGCTATTGTTCGACTATAGCTAACTAAGTTATGTCTGTAAAGTACTTGATTGCTGAGTTTATAGTGGTAATTGCTATTTTATCTGCTAAGACTGTTGCATTTTTTTGGTATCTTGAGATTTATTTGGCTAGGAAATCATATAGCCAAAAGAAGATGTGTTATTATTTGTCAAAGTTATACTGCTCGGATACTCGAAAGACTAGTTCATAAATCCACTAGGCACAACCTAATTACCCCCAATATTATTTTGAATACTGCTATTATGCGACTCATAACAAAGGCTTCTATTCACAAGGTTTCTTCCTTTTTAGTCATCCATCATTTTGAAAGGATTAGCCTGATTTGATTTTTAGAGGTCGTTCATGTTCTCATACTTGATACTATTGAGAAGTTATTGATTCCGTTTCTAGCCTCTTCCGTTTCGCATATTGATCTAGGTGATATTGTTGCCAATTTCCAGGGATTCAAGGAAATTGTTAAACATCTTTTTGTTTTATCCGTTAACTTTGGATCTTTGAGCCATTCTTATCAATACTATAATTATTATAATTTCAATACAAGAAGTACCACTACTCAATTATTGACTATTTTAATTACTTCTTTTTTTGAATTTTCTTAATTAAAACCTCTCGGGGTTTTGGGGTTTTGGGGTTTTGGGG